CAATAACACATAAAACAGAACAGATAGGTTGGTAAAAAGCTTCCCTTAACTGGGGCTCGTGAAATAGGGATCCTCTACGTAAAGAATTTCAATCTCCATCAGGAAAGAAGAAATAGTCGCATTTCAATTCCTGGAAGTCCAGTAAAAATGATGACTCTGGTAAGGAATGGGGGGTTGACAGAAAACTAAACTTTGGAGGCTGGACAAATAAGCTCAAAGCCAAGTGGTTGGTCTAGTTGGGGGACTAATAAAATTCAGACAAACGAACTACCGCCTTCAATAACACATAAAACAGAACAGGTAGGTCGGTGGAAAGCTTACCTTAACTGGGGCTCATGAAATAGGGATCCTCTACGTAAAAAATTTCAATCTCCATCAGGAAAGAAGAAAGAGTCACCTTCCAATTCCTGGAAATCCAGTAAAAATGATGACTCTGGTAAGGAATGGGGGGTTGACAGAAAACTAAACTTCGGGGGCTGGACAAACAAGCTCAAAGCCAAGTGGTTGGTCCAGTTGGGGGACTAATAAAGTTCAGACAAACGAACTACCGCTTTCAATAACACATAAAACAGAACAGGTAGCTCGGTGAAAAGCTTCCCTTAACTGGGCCTCGTCAAATAAGGATCCTCTACGTAAAGAATTTCAATTTCCATCAGGAAAGAAGAAAGAGACACCTTCCAATTCTTGTAAGTCTAGTACAAATGATGACTCTGGTAAAGAATGGGGAGTTGACAGAAAACTAAACTTCGGGGGCTGGACAAACAAGCTCAAAGCCAAGTGGTTGGCCTAGTTGGGGGACTAAGTTTAAAACCCAATTGGTTTTACTTGATTTGGTTGGGATAAATCACTATTTACAATTAATTATACCCAAACAGATTATTTTCTGCACCTTTTTAAAGAAATTGACGATTCTCTTAGTATAGAAACTAGAATTGTAACCAGTTCTAATGACGCTAATTTGTTATTTTTCGGATTTATACCCAAAGAGAACAACACTTCCGAAATTACTGTGTAACACCAGTTTTCTGGACAGATTTGAATACACCAGTTTTCTGGACAGATTTGAATGCACCATGATATTCACAAACATTGGTGGCCAAGTACTCCTACATAACCCACGTTTCACTCACAAGATCAACCATTATTTTAAAGTTGATTTCAAAAGTTGAGATTGTAAATGTTTTCCAAAATATTACAAATTGAATATTCAAAAGTTGATTTTCATACTTTTCAATGAAATACAAATAGTAGGTCGTAACAACGAATGATGCATAGCTAAGTAAAACACAACATTGCCTACAGAAGCTTCATTTTTTCACACATTGAGTAGTCAAATCGTAGAGAGACTTGTCAGTACATGCAGATAGATTCTGAAGTCATGTGACTTGGTGCACAGGCTTTGATTTTCTCAATATTTTGCTCGATTATTTGATATACAGTGACAACTCATCTCTTATTGATATATGTGGGATTCTCAATTCAGAAAGTCACATGGCAACAGTGAATTCACTGATTTACCTTACAGTGCGCATGCCCTTATTTTGTCCGTATATGTAGATGATTGTCAAGTCATGTGACTTTGTGCACAGGCTTTGGTTTTCTCGATTTTTTGCTCGATTTTTTTTATTACAGTGACAACTCATCTCTTATTGATATATGTGGGATTCTCAATTCAGAAAGTCACATGGTAATAGTGAATTCACTGATTTACCTTACAGTGAACATGCCCTTATTTTGTCCGTATATGCAGATGAATTGTGAAGTTATGTGACTTGGTGCACAGGCTTTGATTTTCTCGATTTTTTGCTCGATTTTTTTATTACAGTGACAACTCATCTCTTATTGATATATGTGGGATTCTCAATTCAGAAAGTCACATGGTAATAGTGAATTCACTGATTTACCTTACAGTGAGCATGCCCTTATTTTGTCCGTATATGCAGATGGATTGTGAAGTCATGTGACTTCGTGCACAGGCTTTGGTTTTCTCGATTTTTTGCTCGATTTTTTTTTACAAGGACAACTCATCTCTTATTGATATATGTGGGATTCTCAATTCAGAAAGTTACATGGCAACAGTGAATTCACTGATTCACCTTACAGTGAGCATGCCCTTATTTTGTCTGTATATGCAGATGGATTGTCAAGTCACGTGACTTGGTACACAGTATTTGCTTTTCTCTGTTTTTTCAATCTAGTGACAACTCATACCTTGTTCATATATATGGGATTGTCATGCAGAGGCATCTTTCTAAAGCCGTTCATAACCAACTATATAAACGACTAAAGGTGAACACACAACCTTACAACTCATTTCGCCCTACGAAATTATCATTCATTTGTTTTAAAAAATTAGCATGGCTACACGATTCATGGGAGAGAGTGGGAATCGCAGAGGTGGTAGGAACTTGCAAAGGGGTGACAGTTCACGATGAGGAGGGGGAAGGGGCCGTGGCGATGCTGAAGACGATTCATGGGAGGGAGTGGGAATACCTGTTTTAGATTATGCTTGTGGTTATCGTGATAGGTTTGGGAAGTGACATTTTTTGATGCCCAAGTATTATCCAATTCAAGGAGGTTCATGTATGGAGGCATCTGACAATCAAACAGGATATGGTTTATCTGACGCTGCTCATCTCAAGTGGCCCGCACTATTTATAGAGCGGGTACAGCTGGAAACCTTAAGTCGGGAAAATCGACTTAAGGTGCCAAAAGCACGTTCTGTTGAGATCCAAAAAGAAGATCCTGATAATGTTGATCGACTATGTAAAAGACGACAACGTGAGATTTCTCAAATGCGCTGTAGGTTAACCAGCGATATGCAGCTATACATAGTTAAGAAGGATGCCCAGAAGAACAAATCAGAACTAAATGTTGCGGCTATCAAGGGTATCATGGAGGATCCTGAACTTGTCTCTGACGCTGAGCTTTCGGATTATTCAGACTCTGAGCCACCTGCTGATTTAAGCGCAAATTAGGTGTTAATGTCTACACTTCGGCAATATTAGGTCATGCATTAATATGTAATGTCTGTGTTAGACTAAGTATAACTGTTATGTTATGTTTATGTTTATGTATTGTGTCTGTCAAATGTTGCAGCTATTAATATGCAATATTTGGTCATGAATTAGGTGTTTGTCTGTCTAACTGTTATGTTTATGTATTGTGTGTTCAGTTCAGGGTGTCCAGGATGTATGTAATGTGTGTTCAGTTCATGGTGTCCAGAATGTATTTTTGTGAGAGACTTATGTCTGTACTACCTATGTAACTAAAAACTATTACATTTGCAACTTCAGTTATATTGTTTTCATGCCTGTATGAGTATTTAGTAAATTAGTGATTTCGTATATTATGTATTAAGTTTTATTACAAAAATGTTGATAAAATTTATTTTAGGAGCTCTCACGGTGGCCTTCGTCTTCTTGGCCTACTCCGCGGTGCTCTTCGCGTCTCACCCTTCGTCGTTGCTCGTCGAACTGCACAGTGTGTGGGTGTGCTTCGGACTGTAGAGCATGCATGTCACCTTCTAACCCAAAACAAAGACGAAAGAAAACATTTTATTTTTTTAATGAAAACGGATACAAAACGGTTTTACTAAACTGGTTTTCTGAATTATATTCTCACCTTGTAACCCAAAACAAAGACAAAAGAAAAAAAAAAATTACATGAAAACGGCTTTAGTAAAGCAAAAAAATATATATTAATTACATTATCACCTTCTAACCCAAAACAAACACAAAACAATAAATAAAAAAAATTTACATGAAAACGGCTTTAGTAAAGACAAAAAAAAATTCTAAATTACACTTTCTAAACCAAAACAAAGACAAAAGAAAAAAAAAAATTTAACATGAGAACGACTTCAGTAAAGCCAAAAAAAAATATATGAATTACATTATCACCAAAACAATGACACCAGAAAAAAAAAAATTACAAAAAAAAAATTAAATATAATTAAAATGAACAGTGAAAGCGTGGTTTCAATCCATGCTTACTGTGGTGAACAATGAAAGCATGAATTTTGTAAATGAACACGATTGGCTTAATAAAATCTAAATGAATATGATTTTAAAATTATATATATGAAAAATATTATGTAAAATTAATATATGAAAAGAAGCTTTTTCCATAAAAATTTAAATGATATATAAATTGGCTTAATTCCCAAATGTTTGGTAATTAGTTAAAAATATTATGTAAAATTAATATATAAAGAAGAGGCTTTTCTCATATGATGTAACACAAATTAATATATGAAAAGAAAAGATTTTTTTCCATATTATGTAAAATTTCTGAATTACACCTTCTAAACCAAAAAAATAAAAAAATAAAAAAAAAATTTAAACATGACAATGACTTTAGTAAAGCCAAAAAAAATTTATGAATTACATTATCACCAAAACAATGAGAACAGGAAAAAAAACAAAATATTAAAAAATAAATAAATAAATGAACAGTGAAAGCGTGGTTTCAATCCACGCTTGTATTTATCAACAATGAAAGCGCGATTTAAAATAGCATTTTCTTCAGGAAAAAAAAAATTATATGCAGAGTGAAAGCGCAATTTCAAATAGCATTTTCGAATGCAAACTGAAAGCGCGATTTCAAATAGCATTTTCTTTATAAAAAAATTTTTATGTTTAAAGCGTGATTTGCAACCACGCTTTCTTAATTAAAAACGTGATTTTCAACAGTGTTTTCACTATTCATCACATTTTGAATTCCAAACAGTGAAAGCGCGATTTTGAATTCCAAACAGTGAAAGCGCGATTTGTAATAGCGCTTTAGCCTAGTTTGGAAATTCCATCCAAACTAGGCCTAGTTTGAAAATTAAAATACAAAACAGGCTTAATATGGAAAAAAACTCCCCAAATTAGCAGTCCTGAATCAAACTTTATTTAGCAGAGTAACCTCCAGCAGTGTGGTGTTGGGATCAACCAAGAATTGATGATCTCCTAAAAATAACCTTATATATGCGCAACATCTGAAGTTATTCAATCAAAGCACAATAACATCACATCCCAAAACTTTTATACGCTTTCATGATTCATGATTCATTTAAGATGTTGTCCATAAAAGGGGGAAAAAAGTGTTGCCTAAAAAAAGTAATTCATCAATTAAATTTTACAAGAGAGAGATAATAAGTTAGCTTCTTAGATACCACTCTCAACTCAATGTTCAAATCCTTTCACCTTCACTTGAACCCCTGATCACCTGCTGCTAACCGATTGCGCATACGCCACTGGTCACGCAGAAAATTATACTATAGTCGCTGTTGAACACAGTAAACCAAGCTACCAAATCGCAATCCTTGCTGTCTATCAGGCTCCTGCCCCGTTACTTAGCTGGAGTGTCATTTTTATGTTCATAGCAGCTAATTCTGCAGCCAAGTATCTAAAGACATAGGGCATTGCAACCGTCTCCATTCCCTTGCTTGTCTGGCAAGCAGTACAGAAAACCTTTTTCGGGGCCCTACCAGGTGGGAGCCCGCCAATCTCACGCACTGCTCGCTTCTGTGGTTGATGGATGAGTGATGTTGTGAGGATGCTTCCACAAAGGGAACACACATCGGCAATGTGATGATCAGAACATGTATGTAGCCTGTCATGCAATAAATATGCAGCCCCATGAGCAAGGAGAGAATCTCGTTCCATTTCTCCAAAACGTATACCCCCGCCACGCTTCCTTCCTTTAATAGGCTGTCTTGTAAGCTGGTCCACAGTTCCGGTGGACCGAACCTGTAGATCAAAATGAGGGCAAATTTAATTAGAGAATCCATCATTTTCCTCCCTCATTAACCGGTGATTAGAGGACATGTAAATGTAAACCAAGAACACAGCTACCATAAAAGCTACAAAAACAACGACAATATTAATTGATTAACAAATAAGTTAAGAAAGATGAACACTTCCAAGGAGAAAGCGTGTCATCTTGGATACCCATGTTACACACCGACACTCTTAGACACTCCTACATGCAAATGTGACACTTCTTCAACTTGGCTTAATTAAAAATAAAATTTATAACATCACACACCTCATCAACACTTACTAAACCCACCAATACCTCCATTATAACAATGCTCTGCATTCTTTAAAACACAACTTATACACTCGAAGTATGTTTTGAAACATTCATAAGAATAATACATGTATATTGCAACGTTCTATAATTGTTTGCATTGTTTAGAATGTTATTGTCACGTGAATGATAACTTGATGTTTAAGTCATGAAAAATAACTTCTGAAGTAATTAGTGTTATATTATATTTTTTTTATTATCTTTGAATAAATTATTCAAACATAATAAATTTAAAGAAATATAAAAAAATTTAATGTGTTCCAAGCGTGTCATGTCTGCATTTTTTGAAAATTGGCATATCAGCATGTCTGTTTCGTATGCGAGCTACTTATAGCTTGTATAGCTAATAAAAATTTCAAAAGAACACCAATCTGCCTGCCACTAAGGGAAAATATTTGCACCTGCATAAAATAATAATCAGCAATAGGTCCAAATTTCTGACTTCATTGTTGGTTGACAATTCATAATATACAGAACGTTGAAGGGAAAAAAAAACACACCACAGATTATTGACACACAGAGGCCAGCAAAGACCATTACAATAGATAGTAAAAGAAGAATTAATGGAGAAGGTTTTGACGGATTTAAATGGAGAATTAAATACTTAATGGGAAGATAATCTAATGTTCAATTCAAAATACATGATCGGAAATAAAACAGATGTAAAATTATTACCAACTAAAAAAATCGGATGCATATTTATCAATGATTGTTAGGAAGTCCATACCTGAAATTTGTCTGAAACCATATGTCGAAGACGCTGATAATAAACAGGCCCAATAAAAATCTCGCAAGTTAATTCGGTCCCATAAACTCCACTATACAATACTTCTAAACCATGGTAATTAAAACCACGTTCAGCTAACATGGAACCAAGTTCTTTAACAAGTGAACTGGATTCAGATTCTGACTCTCCCCCAGCCTTCTTTACCGAGCTAGAAAACGGTGTCGCATCCACAAATTTTCCATGTAAGCAACCTCCCTATGACAGGACAAACAGTAAGCACTAAAGACATTTTCTGCATCTATGCGCTATTAATGGAAAAGCATGATAAGAGACCGATACCCATGTGTGTGAGCTGCATCTGCATGTTATTTCAAAATTTTGACTTATATTGCCCTCATACAAACCAGTCAACCTCTCTTTCGTTTTTTTTGTTTTTCCCAAAAAAGGGCAAGTTAAACCAGTAGTCCTTATAGTTTGTCTGTTGTGCCGATTTAGTTCTTGTAGTTCTAATTGCATCAATTTTAACCTTAAATATTTTACATTGTGTCAATTTAGTCCAATTGACAATGCCCTATAAGAAATTAGATTAACATTGTGTCAATTTAGTCCAATTGACAATGCCCTATAAGAAATTAGATTAAAATCAAGGAGAAAAATAGTCCGTTCACACTCATTAAAGTGATTGTAGGGTTGGCGTTCAATTTGAAATGGTTCATATCCTTTTTAACGGACTTTTTTTTTTTTTTTTTGATTTATGTCCAATTTCTTAATGAATGTTATCAATTGGATAAATTGACATAATATGAAAAAATTAAGAGGCAAAATTAATACAATTGGAGCTACAAGGACCAAATTGACATGAGATAAATTATACAACTTATGAAGCACGAACACATCAAAATAGGTGTTGTAGTGGTGTTAGACACATATGTGGTGTGTCCCTATATTTAATTAATTTGTTGTTTTCAGGGGAGACATTGGAGACACGCCCACCTCTTCTTTAGTGCTTTTGATGGATGTTAGATGTGAAATGTTTATTACTTTTTGCTTAGATTTAAATAATTAATAGATCATTCATAAAAAAAAAAATAAACGATAAGAGTTAAACTTAAGAGTGGAGTTTTTTTAATACTGAATCTATTTTAATTTTGATTGTTTATGGATGTAATATTAATATACATAACAAATATATATATATATTATTTTATTGTTGTATACCCACTATGTTCGTGTCCCCAATTCGGTGAACCCATAACAACCCTTGATTGGGTGAGCTAGCACATTTGATTGTACGGCGTGAAATCCATCTAGACCCAAAATATCTAGCTGTTTAACTGGCCATCTGATGCAGGACAATTAGGTACAACAGCAAATCTAGGGGACAACTAGGGTTTGTTTAGGGTAATAAGTAGGTAAGAGTTGAAGCATGAAAAGATGGGATTTTGGCACTGTTTAGGGGTGTGAACAGTAACTCATGAATAGTAAACTAAAACGGAAAAGAAGAAGAAAGAAGAGTAGAGGATAGGTCTAGGCATCGCACCTAGATCCCTTAGGCATCACACCTAGGGTTAGGGTTGCATCACACAAATCCAAAGAGGCTTCAAAGCTCTCAAAATTCTATACAAAATCAACTCTCTTAAATTACAAGTATTAAATGGCTTTATCATCACTTCTCTTAATTTAGACTTTCTTGAGCTTCTTATACTCTACATCACCATCTAACCCTAGTCAGCCACAATGCCATAAAGAGTATCAAAAATGATTAAGCTTCCACAATCCGTAGTGTTAATGTGAAAAGCCTTAGCATCTAGACTTCACATCTAGAGCAAGTTGTAAAAGTGTTACTATTATTATTTGCCTACTAAATCTATAAAATGTAGAGAAATTACATACATGATAAAAGTACACAATTAAACGTGTATGCCCTCAAACGTATTGAAAAGACCGATAAAGGCAAATGGATTCATGTGTTAAAATTAGCCACAAAATTCCTTGTATCCTTACTTGGAGAATCTAACTTAGTATCTATGCCTACAGGACAACAACCACCCATCCAAGGGAACTTCCCTTTCAGGATTAAGCCTCAATCAACTATGTATAACAATCAAAGCCATTGGTGCCTTGACCTTGGTATTGTCAACAAAAGACATAACAAGGTACTCTCATTAGCTTTTCAACAGCTCAATAATAATCCTTTGAATTGTAAATAGACCGCCACCTGCATATACTCTTACGCATAGCAGATAACTACATACAGTAGGCCTCTATCTGTCCTTACACACAATACCCCAAAGGAACCCTACATACATCTTTGGGATTTCTCCCACTGTAACTTCTCTTTCACTTCCACCCTCTCTCATTGGAGACAGTTCTCACCCTATTCATCTCTCCGCACTCCCGCACCATCTTATGTGTTCACAATCCCATCACTCGCTGACACCAATCAACCTATCCTTCAAAAGGCAATAAGCCTAGGTCACATCAAAGTACATATTAAATTTCTTTTAAAAAAAAGAACCCTTTAAAGAAGCTCACAAAATTACGCTAAACCATTGCGCATAAGTATATAATGAGGTTTCAACAATGTATTCATGAGACAAACAAATTTAAAGTTAGTGAAATAGCATTTTTCTCTATTTTATTTTCTAACTACTAATTTATTATCACCAAACAAATACAATAAAATACAAATGAAGCAACTAGGAATGATGCATTGCATATTGATAGTACCTTTGCAGCAATAGATTCCAAAAGCATTGCAATTGTCATCCTTGAAGGAAATGCATGTGGATTGATAATAAGGTCAGGTCGCATTCCTGTAACTCCTGAAAATGGCATATCAATATCTGCCCACAACTGTGAGCAAACACCTTTTTGTCCATGCCTACTGCTAAATTTATCACCAATTATAGGATTTCTGGACCGTCGAAGACGTATGTTGACCTGCTCAAGAAAAAAATTAATTAAACCACATAGGTGCATACTGTCAATTATATGAACCATACCAAAGCATGTTGCACAATTAACTTTCATACTTTAACTTATAAAATTCTAGACATTTACAATTCTTTAGTGTAATGTTGACAAATGATGTCAAACAATTGCCATCTAGTTACCAAACAACATCCTGAGGAAAGAATGTCAATACTTCACTAGATAGGATGCTAATCAAAAGCATCTCACAAAACTATCTTATGCTCTTTCATATGTTAGCCATGTAAGTGCTAACTTCATGTCAAGTCCTGAATATCCTCTAATTGCTTGACAAAGTTGACATATTTGCCTTCAACTATTTATAGCTATATTTTCCAAAGCAAGCCTGAACAGAACAGATGAATTTTTTGCATTGACACACACACATAGAAGTAAATATATACATGCAAAGGAAGTTTGATCCAGATTTGTTTGTCTTGTTAGATTTTTTAGATGATTTTACAGTTTAGGGGGTGGTAGGTTCTCTTGGTAGTTCTGTATTCGTTGCATCTTCTTGATGCTCTTTCAATAAAGCTTGTTTATTTATCAAAAAAATATATATACATGCAAAGTATACACTTGTTAACATTCATCCTTATAGATCGACCACAAGATTGTTAATAAGATTATTGTATACTCATGAAAAAGTTTCTTTTGCTTAACTTAAAAAAGAATATGTCATTTATATGGATTCTAAATAGGTGGATAGGTCCTTGAGAATTTTTCCTTATAGAAACTCAAGCCCAAAAAAAAAAAGAGTCAAACATAAAATTACTTTTCTACAATTTTTAGAGCCCTTTTTTCTTTTAATCACATCCTAAACTTTTTGTTCTAATTATAACTTTTTTATTTTCAATATCCCCAAATTCATACTCTCAAATTTGGTTTAATTTTTAAAAATAAAAAATTGTATTATTCCTTTACCAAAATTCAAGATTCACATATCTGCTCACTTTTGTTTCTTGCTTGACAAACTAGATGCTCACATCAAGAGTTTAAAGGGGATGAAATATATTTAGTTAAGGAATATTTTAGTCATTAAGATTAGTAGGGTGTGCTCTTTAATTATGCATATAAATAAGTGGGTTATGTGATTAAGATAATATACATTTTTTTGCCTCATATCTTAAAGTTATTTCTATAGTATAATAGGCTAAGAGACAACTATAGCACATAGAAAACAAATCAATCTTTGACAACCACCCAAAAGCCAACCGAATCTTAACTATCTGATTAGGTAATCAATTTTTCACCATTGAAATGACCAGGTGATCGTCAAGTTCATCAAAATCTACGATGGGAAACAATATCAAGCAATTAAAAAAATGGTCATCGCATGAAACATATTGGAAATATTAGTCATAAATGTTCCAACTATTACAAAGTTGGGTAAGTCTGAAGAAGCCATGTTTTATCAAAGCTAACAATTTAAGTAAAGGACACAACAATTCCTAGTGGGAAGATATGAACAATATGGATCACTTAATAAAAGGCCAATAGTGACCAAAGTTGTCCCCATGTATGAGTTTGAAAAAGGAAAAACCTAAGGGGGCAGCTACTTAAACCCAAACATTCAAACTGTAAAAAAAGAAGAGGTACAATGACTAATTTTCTCTCTTGCCAGTGTTTTGAGGCTCTGTCTCCCTCAGTGTTTTTTCTTTTCCTTCTCTCTCCCCCCCCCATTAAATATCAATATTAAATATAAGGGCATAAGAGTTTAAGAAAATAGTGTAAATCAAGAAAATGACTTTATAGAATAAAAGTTTAAATACATGGGACTAAGTGGGTTAAAAAATTCGTTCATGAATTTCTTGGGTTAGAACAATTCTAAATTGAATTTATCAATAAAAATCCCAAAAATTTTATAATAAGGAAATGGGGATGGGGAATTAATATCCGCCCCTTGCTCCCATTTCCATTCCTAGATAAATTACAACAAATTCCCTTCAATTATGATCAATTATATATTCTAATATATAAATTGAAGGCTTCTAGTGGTGTTGATGTTATGTAATGTAAATCAAAACACAAAACAAAACCTCCCCCTTCAACCATCTATCTCTCTGTGGTCCTGTGTCTTTATTCATTTTGACCACATAGTTGCTTGATTTTCTGCAATTAGGCATTCCTTTTGGACAAGTAATTAGGCATTTGGTTGGATATTTCACAGCAATTTTTTTTTTTTCATTTGATGGGTATAACTATGCTGGTTTAATTTTTTCACTTCTGTTTCTTGGGTTTTGCTGCAATTTGCAAGTAAAAATATAGACTATTTGTAAACGGTCTGGATCGGTTCCAATCCGGAACCGTGGGATTCAATCCGGAACCAATCCGTGAACTACGGATTTTTAATTCTTCAATCTGGAACCGAACCGTGGATTCAAAAAACCAATCCAAACCTATCGGATTGGACTGGACTGGATCGGATTACGGATTTCACGGATTCCTTGCTCAGCCCTACCTTAACCTGCAATTTACTTTACTGAATCATGATGTTCATTACTTTCTGGTTATGCATTTTAGGTATCAGGATCAACAACCCATGATTTAAATTTTCTATTTTTATTCACTTCAAGGTAGGCCAGGTGGATATTTTTTCTTCACTTATAGTCATAACTCAATATCATTTTTTATTATATGACATATATGTACAAGTTTACAATTGCAACATCCATATATTGCAAATATACATTGTTATTTGATTTATATGGAATTCGATCCAACATAGACATTATTTCAGCAAGCCCCGTGTCCCATCCTGGGTCCTGCTCCTGATGTCCAGGAGACTTCAGTGCTTTAGTACACTGTGCACCTTAAGCCTCATCCTAGGAACCAGCCCTGGTGGCATTAATACTAGCCTTTCTAGTTATTTAACTTGATCTCTATTATTTCCCAACTCTTCTACTTATGTATCAATAATTGAAGAAATATAAAGATTTAGAAGGAATAGATCTTTTGCTTTACACCTTGCCAAGATACTTTTATCTTTAAAAACACCAATATGAAAACAGGTACACTTCCGTAAAACGTCTGATAAATATATGTCTTCAGGCTTACCATGAATTGATAATCACATTTAAAAATAAAAATAAGGACAATGATATTTGTTGCTGGATGTATTTCACCTCTTACGTGCATTCATATTGCTGGAAATTGTGGTGTAAGAATCACCATATTTAGAAAAAGTGAATAGTGAATACTAACAATTGCCCTTGGCGCATGATTAATGTTGGAAAATGTGTAAAAAGCATATTAAAATATGTGAAAAGTGAATAAATATTTATAAAAGTGTATGGGAATACTCTTACGTGCATTCATATAATAAATACCATGTGTGTAAGAATCACCATATTTAGAAAAAGTGAATAGTGAATACTAACAATTGCCCTTGGCGCATGATTAATGTTCGAAAATGTGTAAAAAGCATATTAAAATATGTGAAAAGTGAATAAATATTTATAGAAGTGTATGGGAATAAATGAAATGTGTGTTGAAGTTTTAAATTGTCTTTATTTGACTCTTAATCAATGCCCTAAGGGCGGTGGTTAGCAAGAACCTTTAAAAAATAATGGGGCCCACCATAAAACATGGGAAGCCATACATTAGGTGAAGAGTTTAGGCGAAATATTCTGGTCATATATGGCTGCCCTCTAATAATAAATGTTTGAAGTAAAGTGTAAAACTGCACAAACTATCTACCATTAAATTGGTATTAATCCCTGTTAGTTCCAGATTATCAATTATCTTATGGTACAAACAAACTTGCACAACAGTTTTTCACTGAATTCATAGAAAAAAATTCCATGTCCATATACAAAATATTTTAAAATTCATGCATGAATAGCAGATATCAGAGCAAATCTTAAGATGGCAAGGAACAAAAACATCAAGATCCAAATATTATAATGCTGATTGGATGCATGACAATTATAATCCTGCAACAATAATAATACAACCCACTTACCTTCTGCAGATTCCTTTTGCTCTTCGCATCAACAGCAACATAATCAACAACAACAGGTTCCAAACCCTTTAATTTGGTAGTTTTTGTAGTACTTGTTACCTCATTATAGACACTACAATATGGATCATTTGGGTTTATTTTCTGAAAATTAGAAATCAGAGTTGGTTACTGTAGTAAAAATGACCATTAAAAAAACACTAATATATAGAAGGCTGACCTGCCCAACGTAAGGAAGTCCATCAGAATCAATCAAAGAATGCACTGACTTATCAAGATTGCTTCTTCTAAATATTCTCTGAGAACGATCTGACCTGCCACCTCGTTGAGCCAAGTCAAAAGTTTCTGTCTGCAAAAAAACAGCTCATAAAAATCATAAAAAAAAAAAAAGGCCACAATTTTAATCAAATACCAACCAAAAATCCTAAATTTAATGGATGTCCTCAAAAATAAATAAATAAATAAAAATCAAACAAAAAATAAATTATTATGACCTTTAGTTATGGATGAGTTGATGAGAAATATTCAAGATGATATGCCATGGTATATACTTTTTGCAGATGATATCGTGTTAGTAGATGAGACTAGAGAAGTAGATAACATTAAATTGGAGACTTGGAAAAAAACATTTGAATTTAAAAGATTTAAGATAAGTAGAATTAAGACCGAATACATGGAGTGTAATTTTAGTAATAGTAGGAATGAAAACAGAGAAGAAGTGAAGATTGAAAACCAAGAACTACCTAAGAGTAAATATTTTCGTTATTTAAGCTCGATTATCACAATGGTTGGGCAGATTAGAGCAGATGTGGTCCATAGAATTAAAGTTGGCTTAAGTGGAAGAGTGCGTTTGGGATACTATGTGATAAATGAATACCCACTAGACTAAAAAGAAAGTTCTATAAAACGGCTATTAGACTAGCAATGTTATATGGGGCAGAATGTTGAGCAACTAAGAAACAACATGCAGATTAGTGTTAGTGAGATAAAGATGCAAAGGTGGATGTGTGGCAAGACTAGAAAAGATAGAATTAGGAACGAGTATATTCGTAAATGGGTAGGACTAGCACCGATAGAAGATAAGTTGAGAAAGAATAAGTTGAGATGGTTTGGTCATATATAACGAAGACCAACAAAGGCAGTAATAAGTAGATGCGATATAGTCATAGTAGATGGAAATGTTAGGAGAAGAGACAGACCTAGATTGACGTATGATAGCTTAGTAAATAGAGAGATAAACCTCCTTAATTTGATTAACCAAGTAGCCCTGATAAAGCTGAATGGAGAAGAATGATTCATGTAGCCGACCCATTTGATGGGACTTATGGCTTGGTTTGGTTTGGTTATATAAAAACAAAATGATAAGGATTCTGCATAAACTACAATATTGCTGTTAGGGTATGCTATATATCAGACTACAGGTGTTTAGGAAACAGATTGGAGGGCTTTGGAGTTAAATTGGAGCTCATGAGGGTCATTTTAATGATTTATAGGCTGCTTCTCACTGGAAATTGAAAACAGAATATTGCAAAGCAACTAAGAAAAACTAAAAGAAACTAAGACAACGAAAAAAAAGAATAAGTCAATCACAAATCTAGGCAAAGCATTAAGCAGCAAAGAGTTGACTAGAAGATCATTAAATTTACCAGTTTTGATAACAAAGATTTCATAGACTATAAAACCATAAAAACACTAATAGCACAAAACAACTCTTTGCCAGCACCCAAAAAGACGAAAGTAACTGTTAGAATTTCCCATCTTTACCTTCACCTACTCCACTACACACTCCACTTAAAAAAAAAAATTAATGTATTATTGATTTATGTATTACAAGATATATAAATTACAATTCCTATACAATCTATATATAGAAGAAAATGTGGTAGTAGGTGTAGTGGAGGTGATAGTGGGTTAGGTGAAGTGGAGTGTGTGGTGAAGTGGAGGTAGGTGAAGTGGAGTGTGTAGTGGAGTAGGTGAAGGTAAAGATGGGAAATTCTAACAGTAACCATGAGTTCATTACTAAAACATGAATAGTAGCCACTATAGTTAGTTGTACATGGAAACAATACAGCAACTAGAAGTTTCTATGGTACATTTAAAAATTAACAAATAAAAAATTTAGGAAATGCAGACCCAGGGGGCTCTCAATTTTGCATGGTTTCTATAACAATCTTTCTACCAAGTATGCCTTTTTCACTGGACTACAACTAGTACTTTAAATATACGCGCGTGCACACACACACACACACATATAGAGAGAGAGAAAGACAGAGAGAGAGATCTGGAAGAGAACGCTTGAGTTTACCTCAAATAAGACTGCTTGCCTACTATATATATAAACTATTTAATCATCGTAGTACAAAAATACCCCTGCCACTTTTATTTTACCATACTGAACTCTCCCAACAGATTGCATTAAGATTATCTTGTCACAATTTCTTCACGATGGTAAGAAAGGGAGCATAAGAAAAGAAAAAGATTGGGGCCAAAGAATCCAATAGAACCAAAAATCGGTACTAATTGAAGTACCGAAATCAAGCCAAAGCACAAATTTTCAAATGGTAGCAACAGCATACTTGGTATATGTGTCCATGACACAACCCACGATCCACAGATGATTTATTCAAAACCATGGCATCCTCCATATCATATCTGCAAAATGTAAAAGAAAACACATCATACAAATGCTACAACATAAAAGTGATAACCCACATACCTGTCCAAAATGTTTACCCTGAATATGCCAGAACAGCAACGATTGCATTTGTTCCTAATGGGAATTCATCTAAGCTGTACTTTTCATATGCTTTGGTGCGTACAATGGGAGTCTGAGGAGTCTGTGAAGACATTATTACAACATGAGAGAGAGAGAGAGAGAGAGAAGGGGGGGGGGGGGGAGCACAGAGAGAGAGAGAGAGAGTTTCACACGCACACATACATGAAGCAGGTTAATGGCAAAGTAAATAAGACCCCTTCACATGAGAGTGTGTTGTTTCTACATAGAATACCATATCACATAAAATCTAACTTTCAGTACAATTGCAAAGATCTGGGTTTTTCATCATTTACGAAAACATGCACCAAGAGAAAAGGCAGAGAAGATAATAAACGTAAAGAAAGATTGCAGAGACTTCTCAAGTGTCTCAAAAAGTTTGTGCATATGTTACATGTTGATAACAGATATCTGTTGGACATGTAAGAGAGTCAACAATAAGAACTGACAGGAATCCTCTCATACGCTTATGTTTTTGGTGTACCTAGAAACAATTCTGCGACACCACACAAAATATGTTGAGAAGGAATATAGCTAAATTGTTCGAGTCTGAAATTTCACATTCTTCCACAACAGGAACAAAGAGGGGGCAAGGTTTACTAATTATTATACATTGCCTCATGGAAGTGCAAGTGCCATACATTTACATCATGCTATTAACAGTGTGCATGGATACCATGATCGTGTAATGCTCATGCCACTGAGCCAGAATTTTTTCTTCAAAAGTAAGGGCATGTATGATAGTGTAGGACTGCAGCCTAGAAAGTTTTAAGTGGGTTCTTCTCCATATGTATCTGTTTTCTTCTTGTAGGTTTAATTGTTTCCACATGGGAAAACCATCATAGTCAATTTCAAGGAGAACCATTAAACATGACAATTTTCTATGTATAATATTTTCTACCTTAAAGTACCTAATCCGTAGCTCTGATGTACATTGGCAACAAATATGGTTGCTAACAAAGTTGCGACAGTCATTCTCATTAGCAAACACGTATTTCAGAGACACAAATTTGACAAAAATGAGGTCCTCGCATTATTAACAAAATAAATAACAAGTCAATGACCTTGAAGGATGCACCAAAGAAATGAAAGAAGAGAGGCCGAACAAACATGGAATTTGATTTTCCGGTAATTTTTTATATTACTTAACCTCCATTATGCGCTGTAACCTCTTAATCCAAAACTGTAGCCATTTCATCACAAGTTTTGAATTTTGTTCTAAACCATTTCATCCCAAGTTGAATTAAATCTTTTTTGTTTTACACTTACATTTTGTAACTTCTTAATCCAAAATACTAGTGATTTCACCTAAATTTTTGAATTTAATTTTTAATATTCTACATCATGTGATGCAAAACAAACTATTTCCAGCTATAAACTATATCTCATGGCATCAGCATCAGCATCAGTCAATGGAATAATATTATCAACAGAAAAAGTTGAAGGTAAAATACAGGCAAACAATGAAAGATTGATTAACAAACAAATTGTCCAAGCACAGATGATTGTATTTAATTACTACTTCTCCCAAAACAAGTAAACTAACAATAAAAATTTTGGACCAGACCTGAAGATGATAGAGCTTTTGATCTGCACGGCAGTGAATCGCTTGTGAAGAGAAACCCATTGTTTGTTTTCCCATCTAAAGCTCATCGAAATGAGTAAAGTAAAATACTGATCATTTAGAAATTTTAATGTACAAGATATAAAGCACAAAGGACCCCTTTGGTGAACATGTGAAAAAAACCTGACACTGGTACATGTTACGCGGACTCTGATTATGATCAGACCAAGGTGTGAGATTAGCAACCACACTGAGAATTCCAGTAGGATGAATTTCTTCATGAGTAGCAGGTAAACTATTCCCCCTTCCTCCATCACCACCATCTGCACACCTTATTTCCATATAAACCTACTCACATGACAAAGATAAATAACTTAGCTATTAGCATATTGTGGTTGTTACATAAAAATCCGGGTTAAACAGACTTAACAGAAGTTTTTAATGTATTAATTTTCAAAAAATAAATTACATGCAGAAAGACCTCTAATAAGATATAAAATGGTAAATGAAATCTAGCCTGTACCTGTTCAAAGGGACCAATAAGTTCAATATCATTATTTTTCTCAGGAGGGACAGAAATATTTCTGACAGGCCGAACAAATCTAGACGGAGATGTGAACAAGTACAAACCAGGAAATGTTCCACCCATGCTCAGAGGAACATATCCCACCTCCAGATCTTATGTGGCCAACTGATACATATTATGTGAATGTTAAGTCGAGGAAAGGAAAATAGGAAATGAAGCAAAGGGAATTGGACAAAACAGACCCCTGCGGTTTCTGAGAGCTTTAATCTCCGTAGGTGATTGACAGCTTTTTCGACTATATCAGATGGAATGAAGCCAACAACACGACCATCTAAAAGAACAGAAAGCACTTCAGGAGGACCAGCTTGCACAAGCTTTGGCAGTGAAGGTGCCATACCAACTCCAACCAAAATACTAAGAATAGACATTCGCATTTTGAAGAAGTCTCTAACATTTCCTTGTGAATCATAGTACGATGTGATACCTAGAACAGAAACAAAATGATAAATGTCATTTGCTCTGCATCCTCAAAATACATTCTACTAAACAACAAAGAAATTTTGATTGTTGGACCATACTAAGCAAGCCAAGATCCTGCACATCAATAAAATAATGTGATAATATCTTCCCAGTTCAATTCTTTTCGTAGTTAGGGGAAAGGCTAAACATGTATCTATGCCACATCATAACCCAAAGTGGTCTCTGATTATGAATCAAAGTGGCGTTGGCAATGAATTTGAAGTGGTGATGGGGTCAGTCTATGTCAAATCAAGGTGGAGCGAGTCTTGATTATGACACAAAGTGGTGAATTGGTAATGAGGTGAAGTAGTGTTATAGTTATTATGACCCAAAGTAGTCTTGGTTACAAGGCAAAGTGATGATGGTTATGAGATAAATTGTCTCATAACCAAGACCACTTTGGGGTGTAACAGGACATACAGTACACATTTTGGGTGTGTGCATGATAGAATTAGCCAGGAACACTAGATATTAATCTTTTTTTTCAGTAACATAGAAAACTTTTTTCTGTTGAGTAAGAAAATAAAATTAGATATGTAACACTGGAACATTCTATGTAAGATTGTTTTAGTACACAGAAGAATGGTTTGGTTGATTGCAAGCGGAATGATCTAGTTATAACATTTATCTTTTGTAATGACTAGATCATTCCACTTGCAATCAACCAAACCATTCTATTTATCATGGAATGAAAACCTGGACCATTCTAATTGCCGAAATGGGAAGGTTCAAATGGGTGTCTACCACCAAATATTACCATGTTATCTTAAATGGGAAAATTTATTGAGTGAGAGAGAGAGAGAGAGAGAGAGAGAGACTCCAAATCACAATCTATACTCGTCTGTATCGTAGTTTTTTTTCCGTCTCTGTTGTGGCACTTTCCTGAGAGCCCCAACCACTAATGGTTAGCCATGCACCTAAAAGCAAGTACTTTTAATTAAGGAACACCTTGCATAGCATTGTGTGATTCGGAAGGGATTCCCATTCTGCCTAATCGCATATGAAATTACAAGCAACAGTAATCAAAAAAATTTCAGCAAATATGACATGGTGAAATGGAAATAAACTTACGAGAACTACAAGTCATATGGTTTAGCAGCCCACACGGCTCCCCATCAGGTGTGTGAACAGGGCAGAGAAAACCCCAAGATCTGTAGATCATAGTAAAAGGGGGACCAATAAAACAAAAAGACAACTGAGAGTAACCATTCATGTAAATGAATAACTTAGCTAAACAAACAAACAAAAAATACATACTCAGGTAACAACTTCCTCACACTTGTACTGCGAAGTCCCGCAAATGAAGCCCCTCGATGAACAGCTCGAAAATGTGAAATAAAACGGAGAAAATTAAGCCTCTCTGCCTGAACTGTCATGCCAGCTCTCTAACAAAGATAAAGGTAATCAATGACTTACAGTCCAAATATCGAACAAGCAACATATTCACAAACTCAAAACATCATGTAAACCAGAGATCAAGTCTGGGATTTTCCACTTACTTTCAGCATTCTACATAAATCAATTTGAGGGGAGGGAAGAAGATCAAATGGGGGAGGGAACTGACCCAACCATTGATCTAAATCTCATACTAACTTTCAACAACAAATTGCCATAAGAACTCACGCACAATAAGAAACCTCTAAAACTACTTTCCAGGAACCACATTGTTCTTGAGCAAAAGCTTTGTTTTTAGTTTACAATATTTTGCAACAAGATCCCTTTTATTTTTTCATCAGCAACAAATAAATTTTATTGATAAAATGAACAGCAAAATCAACACCTTGTGGTATGGCCTGGAAGCACTTTTGGGGAGGAGGCAGTGGTGAGGGAGGTTGCGGAGATGCAGGGAAGGATGAGGTGACGGAGAAGATGGGGAGGGAAGGAAGGAAGCAGTGGCTGGGAGATCAGGGAGGAGGGAGGCAGTGGGGGAGGTAGCTGGAGGGGGTGGTGGAAGGGATAGGTTGGTTAGGGTTTGAAGTTAGAAGATGAAGAAAAGGGCAATTTTGCCTTTACACATTGAAATTTGACTTTGACCTTAGAAGCACGGACACTTCCCGACACGTGTCTGATACTCGTCAAAACGTGTCCTATTTTTTAATTTTTTTTAAAGATCTAAACACTCTTCAGACACTTGGAAGATACACATATCTATTGCCTAAACACACGTGCCTATCAATTATACATAGGTGAAACTAATTATAAGTTTGAACAAAACAATTTAACATACGATAATAAAAGAAAAATCATATAAATTTATAAGAATTAATGTCATATTGCATTTTTTGTTATCTTTAAAAGATATATTCACATATACATAATAAATATAAGAAAATTATATATTTCAGCATGTCCCCCACGTGCCATGTCCTTCACTTTTTTAAAATTGGCTTGTCGGCGTATCCGTGTTGTGTCTTGTGTCTGTGTCATGCTTCTTAGACATTGACTAAACGAACATTCTTCCCCACTCACATGGCGTAACTCTTATCCATTGAGATGAAAAATTTAACAAAAGCACTTTAGTCCAAAAACATGTGGGCGGCCATTTGCATATTTTTAAACAAGGGATAAAGTGCTCTAGGGCTATACCATGGGATAAATTGGATTTTTCCATGAGAGAGAGAGAAAGACAGAAGTCCACCACAAAATATGAAAGCCAACCAAAAGATTACAAAGCTTACACACCCCTCCGACCCCTACTAATCAAAAACAAAGGAATTCTCCTAAAAGAAGAAGAGATACAAACCCAAAAGGAAGATGCAAAACAAATCTTATCCCATAATTCCTCCATATCCCCAAATTATCATTAAAAAAAACCTCACTTTCCTTCAAATCTCCCTAGGTATAACAAAAGTGACTCAATCCCAAAGCAATTGAGCTTTCTTATACGTTCCAAATCCCGTATAGCCAATCAAAAGCATCTATATAGAAGAGCCCCATCCACCGAAGAAATGGTCAATGCTTTCTTCACCCCTTCTACACAAAATGCAACCGTTGAGGGAGCAAAGAGGAATTTGGTCTCCTTCATTGAAACAAATCGTTAGCAATATATCTTATTATGAGCCAAGGACCATAGAGAAACTTCTTCTAAGTGAGGAGGGGTCTACTCTCACCAAGAATTGTCAATCAATATTTGCCTCTAAGAAAGTCCTAAGAATTTAGACATACTTTCCTTCTAGATAATTAAAAGTCAACTCTCCTCACTTGGACACACACACATAGATACAGAGAGGAATTTCCTCATTTAGCACTGTAATTCATACAACAATTGTGAACATTTCATGAGTCGGTTTTAGCATTTTTACTATAGTTTCTATATAACATGTTTGCTGAACTTACCAATAAATCAATTCCAGAACAGGTCTCACTCAAGCACAAATTACTGATAATTATACAGCGCTTGAAACATCTCATCTTAAACAGTAAGCACACAGCCGACAAAAACCGTGATCTTGTCAGTAGTTCAAATTCAGAAGAACAAAAATAAATTCATTATACCATGTGTACTTGGGCTCGGCCCCATGCACTCGAGTGATTTTGTCTATACATAAAAATAAAACAAATCTAAATTCTTGAAAAGTATTCCTGTATATTCAATGCTTGAACTCTTAGATTCAGCCTCATGAACTCAAGTGATTCAGTTAACTAACATTGTCAGCAGAAGAAAAATGAAAAGGTACAATCGATCTAAATTACTAAGCCATCATACAGTTATTACAGTCTCTGTAAAAGAAGAGCATGGCATTCAGTTATGAAGTTAAATATTAAAAGAAGAAGACAATCCCCAGTATATGCCAATACCTGCGGTAAATCTAAACCTGATAGTGTGGCAAGTCTTCCAGTTTTCAACATATTCTCAATTGCTGAGCCAATCTGTTTAGGATGATTTTTATCCATGATCTTCTTCACACAGGCTACTGCATTCCATAAGTCGAAAACATCAAAAAATAAAAATGTGAATATTTGTTCCATTCCTTGGGGGGATGAATTAGGAATTTCGCAGATCAAATTTGATGTAAATAAGTGATTACAAGAGTACATATGTCACCTAGTCCAAGATTTGACATATAAGTACCATAAATTGGTAATGTAATTTTTAATTTCTCATTCTACTTAGAACATTGAAAAACCATATATTATCCAAGCCAACAGAATACAACATCACTGGAAATCTAAAAATATGAAGCATAAGCTGTCAAGAAATGACTTGATGAGGAGCTGCTCTGGCACTGAGACAAAGAGGATGCCATGCTACCATGTATTTCAACATAATAAATTTTGTACTTGAAAATAGAAAACACTTCAAATAAATGTCAAGTTTTTAGATGAAACCCAAATAGCAGTATAGCAAAGAATGAAGCTGGACCAAACAAGTTCAATGCGTCTGTTGCCGAACCATTCTGTTACTACGCACCTCCTGAGGGTATAAATAACAGTTAACATTTCACAAAAAGAAGGAACCAAGCACAAATCCTTAATATTCACACCCTTGTTTTCTGCAGCCCATATCAAGCAAGCATTGGTGTTTCCTCTCGACAATAGGGGAAAATCAAAGGCCAAAAAACAAGTAGCTAGCAGAATAGTTACTCATCATGCAAACACTCCCTGGGGTAGGTCTCTCATGGACCCTAAGGACATGAAGGCTTTCTTCTATACTCTGTATTATCTAATTCCTATTCATCTTCTTAATTGCTAAATTCATGAACCAAACCGTCTATGAAGGAAGAACCAGATACTTCAGTGGCCACCAATTGACACCAGGCAACCAACTTCCTTCAACTCTACAAAATTGATTTAGAGGAACATCAATGTGGAAAATGATACTCTTCTCTTGACAAGAAAATTATCCAGCCCGAGATATTCACAAATAATTTGTATACGAAACAAATATTCAGGACCTTGGAGACCTCCCCAAAGAGGAAAAATAATTATCAACAAATTAAACATGCAAACCCTGCATCCTCTTCCTACCCACACCAGAACCCATTCAAATCTAATAAAACTGGGAAAACTACAAGATTCATAACCCCGACAAAACCATATAAACAAAATAAATAAATAAAAGGTCGATCAAAATATTTAGAACTGACTAGCAACTGAATAAAATAATAAAACAAGGACATAACATACAGCTCGTGAAGTCAAAAGTTTTGCTCTCGTTATTAATTTCATCATCAAGAAGTCGTTTTGCCTTCTCCAGCCAGTCCTGTAGCTTTTCCTACAAATGACAAAACACAATTCAGAATTTTTATCAACTCAAAAGGCAGACTACAATAGCAGTAAATCTTAAAGTGAATATCCAGCATAAAATGCAATGGTATTATTTATACACAAGCAAATGATTGTTACGTAGAAGGCAGAGCATTTAATTTGTGTCATTATAATGACAAATAATAGTAATAATAATAATAATATTTTTAAAAAAAACAATGCATGGGCACCATGCAAAGTAAACAGAGGTGTAGAGTGAATGTTAATAGCTACAAACAACACTGGAAGGATATAGCATATATTTTGCAAAGCACATGAAAATGCTTCCACCAAAGGTGGAATGTTGCAAATTGAAAGTCTTATGGTGAGAGCCTACAAGCTGCACAAAAAATATCACACATTTAGTAGTATACATAAATGAACAATATAACTTTTATAAAATTCCAAGGGCCATGGAAGCAATTTTTCTCAGCATTTAATTGACAAGCATCAAGTTCCACATCTTCGCAGAAAAAATTATCATAGAAATCCTAATTTCAATATTAAAACTGGCAAAAACTGCATGAATTACATAAATGAGAATTTATGCTTAAGTTCAAGAAGACAACAATCTAATATGATCCATCAATGATCCAGTTCACAAGTTGGTTAAAAGCATGAGAGACCAAATTACATGGGCCTACCTAATCCTGTCTAGCTGTGCCTTGTTTTTGGTTTTAATCCACTTCTTTAAGTGGCATTTCAGTCCAGGGAATTAGTCTCACAGTATATTATATGGGCTCAAGCATACGTGTTGCATAAGAATAGGCTAAACATCAAATGCATTTAATTCCCAACAAAAACATCAGAATGGCTACATATTCTTACCAAACCATCTTAACATGTTCTTGTTCAACTTATCTTCAATAGGTGCTACTCCTACCATTTCATGAGTATATTCATTTCTAATTTTATCTTTTCAAGTGTCAACATACATCCATCTATGCATTCTCATCTCAATTACACAAGGCCTAGTTTGGTTTGCTTTGCTTTTGTTCTTGGATAAAATAAAGTGCTTTGATATAATATATAATAAAAAAATAAGCAACATAAATTTGTCATAAAAAACAATATAATATACAACATCATGCATTGAAATCTCATTTTAGAAAACACTTCAAATAAATGTCAAGTTTTTAGATCCCCACCCAACAAAAAAAAAAAGAACGAACATAATAAAAGACTTTTATGTACAAACACATCATAAACTTGAGGCAAGAAACATGCTTGCTAGTGAATGACGAACTAGACATGTTACATGCATATATCCTTTCCCAAGTATCATACATCCAAGATGGGCATCATTTGATTCACTAATTCTTCTGGCAAATAACACAATAAATAAAAAACAAATCAAGCCAAATCACTTAAGCCAGGGGTAGTGATAGTGATGTTTTTTTTTTTCGTTTTAGGGCAGCCATGTATGAATGTTTGTTCTAAAGATTGGGATACACTTTTTATTCTATTCTAGAAATATACAGAAAAGCAATTTTGGGCATATTAAAACCCTAGAAATCATTGTCATCTTACATCCTTTTCAATTTACTACATTTATTTTAATTTTTCTATGATATAAACCTAAATAAAGTGCCATTAATCCATTTTCATGGGTGATCTCATGCTTAAGGATACGATTGCGCCAGGGTCAGTTCCATCCAAATTCTTATCAAACCTACAACTAGACAAACCTTGGTCAATAATAGAATTCCAACCCAAAACTGAGTGAAGGAACAATCTACTAATATAAATAAAACCAAATCAAAAATCCTTGGGTGGTAAAGGCCAGTCTAATTTTCAATTGAAAAATAAAGTTCTACAGCAATGGCCCTATTTGGTAGGGCTTATTTGCAACTTATTTTAGCTTTTAGCTTCAGCTTAATAAAACATATTATAGCTTTTGGTAAGCCAAATATCAGCTTTTTCTTTGAGTGGGAGAAGAGAAGCTTTTTCTTTTAGCTTAAGCGCGCAGCTGCCATTTGAGGGCCAAATTTACTTAAATACCCTTCACCAATTTGAAGTATTACCAAATTGCCACTATATAAACAACAAAAGGTCATTATTCACTTTTTGAGAGAGAGAGAGAGTGGCGATTTCCGGCGCGAGAAAGGCGATTCCAGTGTGACGATCGGCAATTTCCGGCATTGGGAACTAGAGCTCTCTCTTTCTCTCCCTCCCTCCGCCATTGTGAACCAAAGCTCTCTCCAGCGTTGTGAACCATCGCTATGCGATCTAAAACCCTAGCAATTTGAAACCCTCTCTTTCTCTTCGCGATCAACCCTCTCTCTTCGCGATCTAAAACCATCGCGATTTGAAACCCTCTCTCCCTCTCTCTCTCTCTCTCTCGACGCGATTTGAAACCATCACGATCTGAAACCCTCTCTCTCTCTTCGCGATCAACCCTAGCTCTCTCTGTGTTCTCTCCGATTTTGCAGAGGGTGGCCAGCAGTGGCTAAGGCTCTGGCGGTGGCTAGGGTTTGGTATGAATTAATAAATTAAATTATTGTAATGAATTAATAAATTAAAAAAACTTAGCAATTTTTACAATATTAATTTATATTGTAATGAAAAGAAATCACAATTTTTATTTCACAATTATTGATATAAATTGCACAATTTAAATAAAGAAATAAATAGTACAATTTTATTTCAATTAATATTGATATAAATTTATTTCAATCAAATAACTTCTATTAAAAGAATTTTATAATATAAAATTCTTTGGTATTGTAATAAAAAGTATAAAAAAAATAAAAATTTGTTGCTAATTGATATTAATGGGAAAACCGTGGTCCTAAACCGATCCAATCCGTATTTAAGTGGATTGGTTCGGATTGGTTCCATGATTTAAACGGATTGGATTGGTTCCAATTTTTTAGGAACCGTAAATAACGGATTGGTCCTGATTTTATCCCAATCTGGTCCAATCCGGACCATGCTCACCCCTAAAAAAAACTTAGCAATTTTTACAATATTAATTTATATTGTAATGAAAAAAAATCACAATTTTTATTTCACAATTATTGATATAAATTGCACAATTTAAATAAAGAAATAAATAGCACAATTTTATTTCAATTAATATTGATATAAATTTATTTCAATCAAATAACTTCTATTAAAAGAATTTTATAATATAAAATTCTTTGGTATTGTAATAAAAAGTATAAAAAATAAAAAATAAAAAATTGTTGCTAATTGATATTAATGGGAAAAAAAATGAAATAATAAAAAAATTGAAATAACTTCTATTAAATGAAATAACAATTGTTGTAATGAAATGAAAACTAAAGAAAGAGAGAGATTAATAGCTATTAATGAAATAACATTATTGACTTCTTAATGAAATGTTTTTTTTTTTTTAAATTAATGACAAAATTACAATTTTTATGTTCACAAGGGCAAAAATGACAATTACACAACAAAAAGCTATTTTACAACCTTGTTACCAAACACTACTCTACTGCTTAAATCTATAATCCCACAGCTGCACCAAACAGGTTACCAGTTTATATTCACAGCTATAAGCAATAATCTGTTAGGCTATAATCTATAATCATTTTCTCACAGCTCTACCAAACGGGACCAATATAGCAGTATTTCACTACTGTACCCCAAATCTTGTATGAGCAAGAAGACCAAACAATTTTAACCATGGTAATAAAATCAAGTCTTTGAACCCAAGGAAAAAAAAAAAAGTTTCAAACCGCCAGCCAGTACATTGTAATGGACCCCATTCCTGGACATTTAAAGGGCCTAAGCAGTGGTCTACATAGGGAAATGAGAAAAGGACATTTCTCTGGTAGGCTTAGGTTATACAACCACCCAAGTTCCAATACAGAACTAAACCAAAGTTTAGTCAACTTAACTTCCACCCAAGGCCTTCAAAAACCAAGCCAAACCAAATCAATTCGTCTCATTCAGCTCTCTGAGTCAATTGATTCCCATGTGCAACCTTACTAAAGCAAAATGTGGAAAAGGAAGACAGCTCGACGAAAGGCAAGAGGTAGCCCTGAAGTGCATAATTAGAAATCTATCATAGATTGTGCAACTGCTCCCACACAATACCATGCCAAACAATGAAACCCCGTGGAAACTAACATCAAGTGTGGCTTGAAGCCTTTGTTTACACAAAAAGAAAAAAGAAAAAGAATAATAAAACTTTTTAAAGAAGAAAGAAAAGAAAAAGAATACTTCAATCATTACCATTGAGATTAAAGAAGTCATAAATGATTGACAAACGAAAATGATGTTGCTTTTCAAGCCAGATCTACACATGGGGGTACATGATTGAAGTCACTGATGTCCAATAAAGAATGCATGAGTTAGACTTTTAAGACTGTCAAACTTATTTTGGACAGAAATGGGTAATCTAAAAAGAGAGGTTCTACATGCAAAGACAAATTTAAAGAAACACAAGGGCACTCAAATTCTGCTTGAAGAGCAAAATAAGGGACTAAGGTAAGCAATGAAACACACAAAGTGAAGCAATTCAACCGTGCCACAATAATGAAATAACATAAAATTAGTCATTCCAAAAAAATCAAACCTCCATGTTCCATCATCCGTTTTCCAATCCATCGACTTCCTACGTTTACTCAAATGTCTCTCTCATCCTTTCACATGTGGCTCTCTCTTTTACCTCCCTCCGATCTTTAATATCAACTGTAGTTATATATACAAATGAGTAATGGTCACATGCATCTAGTGTGCACCACTACTAATATCTTAGACATCAATTTGCATGTGTATCATATTTCCTTGATATTAAGCTTTCAGGCATATCACTCCCAACCTCACAATTGATTTCTAAAATTAAAATGCATACATGATACAAAATATACAGAAGCAAGTCATAAATCATTTGTTGACCACATATAAAATAAGAGCAGATTGAGACAGTTCATTTCAACAGAATGAAGTTCAAAACTACCTTCAGGTAAATAATAATCAAATGACCGGGCAGTAACACTTCCTGATTTTGCAAGGAATCTGGGTTGTCCGGCTCAGAAGTGTGATCTATAAGTGAGAAAAGCTTCTGCAACAAAAATCTGAAGTGAAGAACTATGTTAATGAGATATTGATATAGAAATTGCCGCCCAAAAAAAGAATAAAGAATAAAGAGAGAAATTATAGAAAGCAGCTACACATAAGCCAAAAGGGGCAAGAAAACGTATTTAAAGACCGAATCACAGAAGAAATTTGAAGTTGTTTAGAAAGTAGCTAACATGAGCAGGTTGAATTTGTCCTGATTGTTTTCGAGGTGGACAAATATGTAGTCTCTTAGAACAGCATTTGCAACCTACAAAAAGGAGGAAGATAAAATAAATATTAAGGCACGAATACTCAAAAAAACTGTTCCAATGTGAAGACCCATTGAAACCCATTGCACTTTGTTTTCTCTCTCTCTATTGTTTTGGGAGAACCAAATGAAACAAATGATTGGAATGATAAACTCACATCGAAGTAGCTTTTATTTTCCATTCCATACATAATAGGTTGGAAATACTCTCCTGAAGAAGGAATAAGTCAGTGTGGTCATCAAGTAAATATTGAAGATCAATGAACAATTATGAACAATAAATTAAGTACCAAGATGCTGCAAACACTGAATGCGGGTAAAAAGAGACAAGTCTCGCACTTCATCAAGAATAATTTTCACTCTTTCACCCACAAGCTGCGTGCCAACACAGCCCTTTCCTCTCCCATGTTTCTCATTATAGAAGCATGTCAAACTAACATAGATTTCATGATCGGTTGTATCAGCAAGGGCCTGCCATAGGAAGTCACGTAAAAAGTGATTCAAATATGTAAATAAAAACAGGTAAATAGTAAATGCATTTAGCTGGACAAAGCCGACATAACTTTGTATTGAAGTCAATCTACACAAGCCTTTAGAGAGAGAGGGAGAGCATCTGAAAAATTACTTCATATAGTTTTAGGGTTGGAGAACAAAAACTTAGTTACCTTCATGCACTATTCACTTTATCAAATTCTAGTAAGAAATTACTTTTCAAAAATCTTGAAGAATATTCTCAGGATTATTTTTGACTTTCAACAAATTATGTGAATTGACATAATGACAACCAAAGTGTGAATTATGTAGTTTATATTATTCATTAAGGATAGTTTAGTACTTTAGATTATTAGGGATTATTAGGGTTTCGTTTATATATTTTGTAATTCTTTTGATCAATCAATATACACAAGTTTTGTCATCTGTTATCATGGTATCAGAGCAAGGTTACAAACAGTAGCATACCTCGCAGGTCATCATCGACCATCGCAGCTCTGTCTCTCATCGCACATCGCAGCTCTCTCTTCTTCTATCGCAAGGCCATCGCAGCTCTGTCTCTCTCTTCGCAAGGCCATCGCAGCTCTGTCTCTTTCTTCGCAAGGTCGTCATCGAAGCCCTAGGAAGCTTCCATCGCTGGTCCCTGGTTCATTCGGAGACCTAGGTTGGGTATCTCGCTGATCTTCTCTCTATTTCGACCTAGCTCTTATAAACGGTGAACCTCCATCACTGCTCTCTGGTGTATAGGTTGCCGTGGTTATGAGAAGAGTGCATTGCTACTCTTGACAGGTCATTCATCTCTCTCTCTTCTCTGCTGCCTTTCACTCTGTTTTGAATGTACTGTAGTTTGGGTATACAATATGGCTGATGATAAATTGCAAGCTATTACTACTAAATTAGATGGTACCAATTATTCTTATTGGTCTCATGTGATGAAAAATTTTATAATGGGTAAAGGTATGTGGAATTATGTTATTGGTACGACTATTAGACCTGTGGAATCTCAAGAAACTGAGGCCGATGTTGCTAAATGGGATAAGGAAAATGCACAAATTCTTACTTGGTTTCATAATTCAGTTCAAACTACCATTGGTATGAATTTTTCCAAGTATTCTACTTCTAAACAAGTTTGGGACTATTTGAAGACTATGTACCTTGAGTCTAACTTTGCAAAGCAGTATGAACTTGAGATGTCTATTCGCAGTGCTAGTCAGAAAGACAAGTCCATTCAGGAGTTCTACAATGAGATGACTACTTATTGGGATCAGCTTGCTTTGATGGAACCGTCCGATTTGCAGTTACTTGACAGTTATATCAAGTATCGGGAGAAACAACATCTTGTTCAATTTCTCATGGCCCTTCGTGATCAATTTGAGCCACTTCGGGGAGCTATTCTTCATCGGTCTCCCTTGCCTTCTGTGGATGGTGCTGTCCGTGAGCTTATTGCGGAAGAAACTCGGTTTAAGGTGGCTCATGGTACTCCTGCTTCCCAGTCAGTTTTTGCCACTCCTCCGCTTTTGCCCACCCCATCTTCTCATTTATTTCAAGTTACTGGTAAGCCCAAGCCTCGAGTTTCCATGGATGAGTGCAGCTTCTGTCATCAGAAAGGCCATTGGAAACATGCATGTCCTAAACTTTTGCAGCCCAAGGGTCGTTCATCTGGTTCACCATTCGCTAAGCCAACATTTTCAGGATCTCGCTCATCTGCCGCCTTTTCTGCACCAGTTTCTAAGAATGATCCATCTTCCAATATGCAGTCTATGTTTGAGCAGTTCAAGTCTTTCATGGTGGCCAATCCAAATCTTTCGTCCCAAGCCTCCGCTATGACTACCACTCAGTTCGGTTTGTCTGGTTCATCCTCTTCAGGTAATATCCACACTTCGTGGATCTTTGATTCTGGTTGTTCACATCATATGACCCCGGTTGCATCTCTCATCAGTAATTGTGTCTCTCTTTCTTCTTCTACCATTATTGCTACTGTTAATGGTTCTTCTATGCCTGTACACTCTGTTGGTTCTATTTCCTGCTCCCATTTGTCTCTTTCTCCTGTATTTTATGTGCCTCACCTCTCACTCAGTCTTATTTCTATTAGTCAATTATCTGATTCCGGTTTTGATGTTGTTTTCTCTTCTTCTCATTGTGTTGTACAGGACCGGGTATCCAAGAGGCAGATTGGGATCGGGCGTAGAGTTGGAGAACTATATATCTTGGAGAGCTTGCATGTTCCTCTAGAAGTGTCTTCTACTGCATTGTCTTCTTTTTGTTTAAACAATAAGTCATCTTTGTTTTATATTTGGCATTCTAGGTTAGGTCATCTGTCGAGTGATCGGTTGAGGATGTTAGTTAGGTCTGGACATTTAGGCAATTTTCCCATTAGTGATATTTCTGAGTGTCGTGGTTGTAAACTGGCTAAAATGTCTGCTCTTCCTTTTAATAAAAGTAGTTCTATTTCATCTTCTCCTTTTCAATTGGTCCATACTGATGTTTGGGGTCCTTCCCCTATAGTTACCAAAGGTGGTTCGCAATATTATGTAGCTTTTGTGGATGATTACAGTCGGTTTACTTGGGTTTATTTGATGACTCGAAAATCTGATTTTTACAAAATATATTCTAATTTTCACTCCATGATTCGCACTCAATTTTCTACCACCATTAAAATTCTTCGTTCTGATTTGGGGGGTGAGTATTACTTGTCTGAGTTTGAGGAGTATTTAGCTACTCATGGAACTATTCATCAGTCTTCATGTTCTGACACTCCTGCACAAAATGGTCGAGCTGAGCGCAAACATCGCCATCTCCTTGATACAGCTCGCTCTTTGTTGCTCTCATCTTTTGTCCCTTCTGTTTTCTGGGGAGAAGCTGTGCTCACTGCTGCATATCTTCTCAATCGGATGCCTACTCCTCTTCTCTCAGGCTCATCTCCGTATGAGCGTCTTTTTGGTGTTACTCCCAATTATTCTCTTCTTCGTATTTTTGGTTCTGCATGCTTTGTGCTCCTTCCTAACGGGCGCGCTCCAAGCTTAGTTCTCGTTGTGTCTTAGTGGTTCTTTTAGGGTATGCATTAATCAGATAATGGTTATCGGGTGCTAGATCCTGCCAACCAAAAAGCGTATATGTTCTAGGCATGTCACTTTTTAGAAAAAACTACCCTTACCTATACTATCCCTTCACCCCTGTTCCTATTACTAATGGATATTTTTTTGGGAAAAAAATTGGTTTTATTCATGGTTGGGGGGGAACCCATTTTCCTCCTAATGTTTCCCTTGATGAGTTTGTTCTGACTTCGAGTCTCTACTTTGCCTCTTACTAGCACTCTAATAGCCTCTTCCAGCTACTCATTTCCAGCTCCCGCTTCTTCCTGCTCCACTTCTCCTGCCTCCTCTTATTGTTATCAACGCGCAAAGCACTTCCGAGCATCACCTGTCTCTAGCTCTCTGTCCCTCCAGCTGTTTCGTTGGATTCCCGCTCCTTCTGCCCATCGCTTCCCAAAAGCGAGATTCGTCATCCTCCGAACTTTGGCTATGCGTTTTTGGTTAATACTGTTTTCCCTTTCCTATCAGTCTTTTTCTTTCTTGTCTTTCATACATATTTTGCAGCCCAGGTCTATACAAGGAAGCTTGTCATTTGATCCCAATTGCGATTGCTGCCTATGAATGATGATAACTGCTTTTGCTAACACTCAAACTTGGGATTTTGGTCTCCATTACCTGCTGACAAGAATGTGTAGGCTGAGTAAATGGGGATCATAAGGTCAAAACCTTTCTGATGGGTCTTGGGAACGGTACCAAAGCTCGTCTAGTTGCCCAAGCTTTTCTCAGGAGTATGGAATTGATTACAATGAGACTTTTGCCCCCGTGCCAAGCATGACTTACGTTCGTACTCTTATCTCTTGTTGCCTGCTGCCCATCATTGGCCACTTGTTTCAACTAGATGTCAAAAATGTTTTCTGAATGGGATACTTGCTCGAAGAAGTGTATTATGCGCCCTCCACCGGGTCTCTCTCACCCTCCTGGTGTTGTTTTGTCGTTTCTTCGCCGTGCTTCTATATTGGTCTCAAGCAGGTCTCCTCGTGCTGGTATGAGCGATTTCACTCTGTTGCCTTCAGCTTGTTTTCGCCCTAGTCATCATTGATTGCGCTCTCTTTCTTTCGACGCACTTCTGTTGGGGCTTATTCTCCTTCTTCTTAATATGTGGATGATATGATCATTTCACTGAGCTCTGATCTACAGCTCACTATTGAGGAGGTTAGCATCAGTTGTTTCAGGAGTTCGAGATGAAGGATTTGGGATTTCTTCGGTATTTTCTTGGTATTGAGGTTGCTACTTCTCCTAACTGGTTATCTTCTCTTCTTCAGACTAAATATTGCCCGTGATTATCTTTTCTCGTGCCAATGCTCACTGATTGAGAAAAATTGTTTGACAACTCCTCTTGAGTTGCATGCTAAGTTTTCTGCTTCTGAGGGCGTTCCTCTTGAGGATCCCACTTTGTTATCGCGAGTTGGTTGGGTGCCTTGGTTATCATCACCGTTACATCGTCCGAATATCTCCTATTGCTGTGCACATTCTCAGGCAGTTTGTTTCTGCTCCTGTTCCACACACTGGGCTGCCTTACTGTACTTTTGCGCTTACCTTCGTGGCACTTTGTTGCAATGTTTGCTGTTACTGCCTCTTCGGACCTGACTCTCCGTGCCTTATGCTGAGCTGATTGGGCAGGTGACATCTCTGATCGCAAAATCAACTTCTGTCTTTTGGTGTTTCCTTGGCGATTCCCTTAATATCCTGAAGAGTAAGAAACAATCTGTTGTTGCTCGTTCCACTGCTGAGGGCTGAGTATACGTGCATGGCTTATGGCTACTTCCGGAGATTCGTTGGCTTCGCTGGCTTCTTTCTGATATGGTGCTCTCTCTTTTTGATCCGACTCCGTTGTATTGTGATAATCAGGTTGCTGTCCAGATTGCCCATAATTCAGTCTTCATGAGC